AATTCCAGCCCCAACTCCCTCCCCCAGGCCAGAAACAAACTGTTCCTCTTCATACATTATTAAAAAGTCCTTGAAAGCAGCTAGGATAGTGTCCAGGGCTAGGATGATTTGCCACAAGCAAAGACCAAGCCCAGGTACTCACAGGAAACACAGCAGGCCCATACTGGAAGGTGCTGGGGAGGCCCGGAACCCCTGTATAGTATGGCAAGCTGGTGTAACTGTAGCCAGGAGGCAGCGCCGGGTTCAGGAATGTCTGCTGCGTGGTGTGGTGAGTCTGCGTCTGGTTCTGTTGGGGTTGGGCCAAGGTAGTGGCCGGGGCTGGGGAGGAGGCATCCCCACGGCCGAACTTTGTGAGGTCACCTGTGACAGAAGAGGCTAAATGTACTTGCCTCTTTCACGCTCCCATACCAATGTAGAATTACTACTTCTGGTTTCACATAATTCCAGAAAATCCTGTTAAAGTTCAATTCTTGAATTACATTTCTTTGCAGCTCCATTTAGCATTGCTCAGCACATCGCAAGCACAGTTCTAGTTAAGAACTAATGCTGAATGACTGCAATCCTGTGGCAGAGACAGGCTCCCAGAATAAAGTTCCTGCATGACTTCTTTGCCTACTCATCTTCTTTCACCTCCAGCAACACCCCCTCCATGGGGAACACTCCATGCTGGATTCAAAAAACAATAGCCATAGCTGGTTTGGCTCATTGGTTAGAGTGTTGGCCCAAGGACTGAAGGGTCCCAGGTTCAATTCTGGCCAAGGGCACATACCTCAGTTGCAGGGTGAATACCCTGCCAGGGTCGGGGTACATGTGGGAGGCAACCATTCATTGTGTCTCTCTCACATAGATGTCTCTCTCTCTCTCCCCCTTCCATTCTCTCTGAAAAGCAATGGGAAAAAATATCCTCGGGTGAGGATTAAAAAAAAAACCTGATAGGTCAAGAAAATGATAGATCAGTGAGGACGATAGGTCAGACAAAAAAAGAAGGCCCATGGCCAAGTAAGGCAATGGCAATGAGACTGCCACTGTGAGTAGAGTACAGGAGCAGAGATGAGCAGAGGAAGGCTAGTTCAACCACTGCATTTCTGGGAAACAGCTGGAGAATGGCTGAGGAAAACCAAGTCAAAATGTCATCTGGAATCACAGGGAGACAACAAAAAGTGAGATAAGGAAAAAGTTACCACATGCCCATCTTTAGCAGGATTCTGAATCTACCAATACTGATTCATCACATCCATTCTATATTTCTGCCAAAGATCTTAATTGAACTGGGTCCCTTCCTGCTACTAATCAGGTTTTTGCCACTAATCTCTACACAATCTCCCTTTATCTAGTCCTATGCCAGTCCTACCAGAATAAGGGTTGCTGGCCAGGCTACCATCCCTCCCAGTCAGCGGCGTGGTGGGTGTGGGAAATGGGATGCTGTAGTAATCCTAGAAAAAAGAGCGGAGACTCAATGTTATTCATTCTCCAACATGAATAAGTATATAGGTTGAGAGGCAGGAAAATGTTGAAGTAATGCAACTTATCCAGCCACCGAAAAGGCTGGCTAGAGCTGTCACAAACTCCAAATTACTCTTGCATACACTGTCCCCCCTGCCTGGCCATGAGCACAGTCAGGCAAGGTCTACGGGTATGCCCACTGTAAAACACAGGAAGTCCATCAGGACCAGTAATATTCTCAAACCTCTAGATAATTATCCTTAATAGTCTACTACTATTGATAAAGTAAAATCTTTCTAGAATTTGAAGTATCTGAAACATACAGAAAGCATCCTGAGAGTTCCAGGGTACTCTGAGCTATATAGATTGCTAAAATTTGTTTACTTCAAAGATGCCACAACTCTGATTTTTTTTAAGTTACCTTCTATTAGAACCACTCCCAAGACCTCATATTCTGATATATCTTAAGTCAAAGTGTGAGTATGAAGGTATGGTTTGGGAAAGAACTATGACATCAACTGAATATTTGAAAATAATCCCCCCAACACTAATGTTAAGATTGCTTTCTTTTCCTAAGCTTTATACCATATACTCACCAATGGAAATCTTGTCTGAAGCATCTGCAAGTCATCATAACCATATACTTGTGGCTGAAAGATACAAGCACGTAACAATACTAATGTGGACTGGTCATGATGCTAGCAAACCAAGAAGCTAGGAGACAAGATTAATCAACAGAACATTCATAAAGAACAGGAGACAAATTATTTCCTTCAATTTCCTTTAAGAGGAAAGAAGTGAAGTACAAAGAGATTAAATGATTCATAAAATGTCTTGAAGTATTCCTGAAGTACATACTGGTGATTCAACTAGACTGGCCTCTGGGCAGCAGTAGAGTAGACGCAAGTCATACATGAATAGCCTGCTCTTACTTTCTGTTCCACCAGTCTGTCTCTTATGGCCTTCAAAATATAGCTCATCACTGGGCCGGTGTGGCTCAGTTGGTTGGGTATCGTCCCATGCACCAAAAGGTTGCCGGTTCGATTCCCTGCCAGGGCATATGCCCAGGTGGCAGGCTCAATCCCCAGTAAGAAGCATGCAGGAAGCAGCCAGCCTATCAATGTTTCACTCTCACAGATGTTTCTCTCTTCCTTCCTTCCTCTAAAAATCAATTTTAAAAAAATCTTTTTAAAGTTTAATATATACAGTATTTTATTATTGACAGTAACTTCCATTAAAAACAGGAACAAGACAGGGATGTCCACTTTCACCACTCTTATTGTTGACAGTATTACAGATATCCCACACATTTCCCACCCTTTGCCCCACCTCCACCTAGCCCCTAGAGCCCCGCTCCCAGGCCTTCCCCATTCTGTTTGTGTCCATGGGCCATGCACATAGGTTCTTTGGTTTATCTCTCTTCACTCCCCGCTACCCTGAGATATAACATACTGTTCCATGCCTCAGGACTTATTTTGTTGGTCAATTAATTTTGCTCATTAGATTCTACAAATAAGTGAGATCATGTGATATTTGTCTTTCTCTGACTGGCTTATTTCACTTAGTATAATAATCTCCAGGTCTATCCATGCTACCTCAAAGAGTGAGAGATACTCCTTTTTTACAGCTACATAGTATTCCATGGTGTGACTGTCCCACAGCTTTTTTATCCAGTCATCTACTGATGGGCACTTGGGCTGTTTCCAAATCTTGGCTATTTTTAATAACACTTCTATGAACAAAGGGGTGCATATATATTCTTTCTGACTGATGTTTTGGGGGTTTTAGGATATATCCCCAAAGTGGGATCGCTGGGTGAAACGGCAGTACCATTTTTAATTTTCTGAGGAAACTCCATGCTGTTTATCCCCTTCCCAGAAAGGATTCGTATTTTACTCTTATTTTCTCTAATGTCTGGGTACTAAGGTAGTGTGTCATTAAAAAATATTCACCTAGACTCTCTGGGGACAAGAACAAGTAAGTGTCTTTTTAAAAATTAATAAATACTCTTTACCTAAATAGGTAATGAATACATGAAGCTGACAGAAGATATACCAGGGCAAAAAGCTACTACTCTCAGCCGCCTATTTTCAGGTAGTCCCAATAGAGTCAGGGAACTCTGCTCTGACCAGGTCAGAGCCAGCAAAGACCCTCAGAGATAGGGAATCGACTAGAGAAAATAATTCTCTAAGAAACTGAAAAGGATACCAGGTAGACACTCAGGCCTTTGGCTTCTGAGGCCCGGAATATGTTTCACAGAGAAAATATACAACAGAGGGCCTGGCCTCAGTCTATCCTTCCTCTCTAAAAAATGTTTTTTCTCAACACTACAAAGATTAAAGTCTTGCTTTCATGTAACAACCACTCATCTATTCTATATTTTAATTATAGTCTTCCACCTGAACCAGAGCTATAAAAAGTAGCCACACCAGCTTTATCTTTTGGAGAAGACCTTTCAGTCTCACTTACCGGGTAGGCATGTAACAGCCCTGGAGCCATAATATACGGATTAGGCAACAATGGCGGGACCCCAGGAGGGAGATTAGGAGGAGCTTTTCCTAAAAGAGAAATTACATTTTTATCCTATCACACAATTACTTCTCTCCTTCATCCCAAAGGGATGCCATCCACCTTCTCTACACAGGGATACCTGAAGTTGTAGCAACTGAGCTTCGAGTCGAGGCTGTGACAGTGGAGTTGCTGCCGAGGCTGAGGCCCAGGCTACTGCCACTATTGAGACTGGAGGAGACACTGACCACTGGCGGAGGTGCAGAGACTGTGCTGGACGTGGTGGAGAAAGTGCTGGAGGAAGAATGAAGATTCGCCTCACTCTCCACGCTTGTGTGCTTCAAAAAGAGGGAGCGGTAGAAGAGAGGAGGAGGAAACAGCAATTAGCCTAACTGGTCAGGAAAGATAAACAATCCCTGTTGTTGATTATGTATCATAATGTCAACTTCCCATAAAAAGGCCGAGGGAGTCCTAGAAGGTTTGGCTCAGTGGTTGGTGTGTGAGCCTGTGCACTGAAGGGTCCCGGGTAAGATTCCAGCCAAGGGCACGAACCTCGGTTGCAGGCTCAATTCCCAGCCCCAGTGGCGGTGTGTGAGGGAGGCAACCAATCGATATCTCTCTCACATCGACGTCCGTCCCCCACCCCTCCTCCTTCCACTCTCTCTGGAAAGCAATGGAAAAAATACCCTCAGGTGAGGATTAAAAAAAAATAAATACATGAATAAAAAGGCTAAGGGAACCTGACCGGCATGGCGCAGTGGTTGAGTGTCATGGTTAGATTCCCGGTCAGGGCACATGCCTGGGTTGTGGGCTCAATCCCCAGTAGGGGTAGTGCAGGAGGCAGCCAATCAATGACTCCCTCTCATCATTGATGTTTCTCTCTCTCTCCCTCCCCCCTCTTCCCTCTCTCTGAAATTAATAAAAACATTTAAAAAAAAAAAAAAAAAGGTTGAGGGAGGGTATCAGGGTGCCCTCTGCCAAAGTAGTTAAAAGAAATTACTAAATACTTTACAGATACACATTCCCCAAGAGTCATCTGACAAGAATGGTACCCAAAGACCCACTGCACAGCATCACACTGTTCAGAAAGGCAGCAGACAGAGCAGAGACAAACTCCCCAGAAACCAATACTGGTTGGCCAGTAAGAAGACAGATAGTTTAAATATGAAAAATATATCACAGCCTTCTCTCCTATACTTCCCCGTCTCTCTGTCTCTCCCTCTTCCTTTCTCTAAGTATGTCCTCACCTCAGGTGAGGATTTTTTAAAAAGGAACAAAAATAACTAGTTGGGAGCCTCATCTCAATGCTGCTAATAACTTAATTTCTTCATTAGTTCAGCACAAGACCAGTTCATGGGAGAGAAAAAAATATAAGTTCTAATAAACTTAAACCTGAAGTAGTATATTTGAGAAACAACAGACTCCTAAGAAAGCCTTAACTCCCAATGTCTTCCCCTAGGACAAACCAGACACCTTTGCCCAAAATGGGTCTTTTTTAAGTTAGCTGTCTTCCTTACCATCTCAGCTTAAACAAATAATTGTTATAAATCACAAGTGAGATTAATTCTTTGACCATAAGCTCTTATCTGGTTCTACTTTCATAGGATGCTCAGACTCACACTGATTATTTTCAGGATTCATGTTCAGCATATCCCAGACCAAGGAATAAAAATGGGCGCACCAGTTAGGGATATTCTTGTGGAATTTATCATAGCATACTAAGCCCCACTCAGCTTCAGTGTTAAAAAAAAAGTCATATAAAGATTCAGGAAAGTCACTTCTAGGGCTTTGAGAATTAGCCCACAGCTCTGCAATATTTCTGGATTTTTCTGCCTCTAGTGACTTCAAAAATCCTTTCACTCCTTTCCTACAATCTCAGATCAATTATCATCTTGCCACCTCAGAATCCTGTCTTAGGAGAATCTTATGGTTGGACAATTATAAGTGTAAAAAAACACACACGTTTCTTCTCTTATAGCACCATGCTTACCAAAAGAGTGGATGTCGAAGTGCGCCCAGAAGATGTTGATGACGAAAGGGTATTCTGCTGAGTAGATAACGTGCTGTAACAAAAAAGAGGTTGCCATAAACCACAGTGTTATGGTCGCCTGACCTGAAGCTTCAATCAAGAATACAGCAAGAAAATAAGGCAGAATATAGGACCAAGGATATTTGAAATATGGTCAGCACAACAGCCAGACAGGGGTAGTGAGCAGTCAAAGGTAGAAAGGATGTCGAAAAGGCAAAATAATCCTCCTGTCTTTACTTCCCATAGCTTTTAGGTCATCTACTTAGCTAATGTGTCTCTGCGAGGTAGAGAAGATAAGACAGAACCAGAGAGCTCTCACCAACTGCTACTTTACCAACTCCAACCTCCAATCTTCACCCCGAATTACCTGCTGTGTTGTGTGGTAGTAGTATTTGGAATCTCCTCACTGTGGCTCAAGCCACCCAAGGAGGATGAGTGCTGATTGTTTGTTGTCAATAAGGAAGCTGCAGATACCGTTTCACTGAGAGGGGGGATACTAGAAGTGGAAGGTGAGTCAGATTTCACTGCAGAGCCTGTAGCACCTGGAAATGAAGAAAGTAAGTCACCTCACCAGAGGAAAGGGAGTGTCTATAAGAAATGAGAGGTGACGCCCTGGCTGGTGTGGCTCAGTTGAGCGTCATCCCATGCATCAAAAGGTCACTGGTTAGATTCCAGGTCAGGGCACTTGCCCGGGCTGAATCTTCAGTGGGGGCATGCAGGAGGCAGCCAATTGATGTTTCTCTCCTTCTCCCTTCCTCTCTCAAATCAATGAAAACATATTTTTTAAAAACTCTTAGAAATGAGAGGTGACTATAGTCCTAGGCTATCCCAAAGACAAGAGTGTGAGTTACTTAATAATGGATCATTTGTGTTTAGGTAGAATCCTTTTGTTTTTCAGTTCCAAGCATTTCACAGCACTGATCTCATTAATCCAGTGAAGGGAGCCAACGGGATGGGATTATCACCATTTTAAGACAGAAAACCTAAAAGTTAGGATGGTTTGAGATTAAACAAGAAAAAACCAAGCTAAGACTATAACCAGGTGTTTTGATCATTGAGCCAGGGCTATTTTCACTACAATCCAGGATATGCAAAAATACTGAAAGGACAAGAAAAACATACTAAAACTGGGAGGGAAAAACCTAGAGAACACTTACCTTCAACAGATTGCGTGGTCTGTAACTGCGTGGCCTGCACAGAACTGAAGCCATTCTGATAGGAAAAAGAAAGGATAAACAAACTCAAGTGAACAGATTAAGTTAGCACTGACTGACTCTGCTTAATTTCCAGAGAAATCCTGTAAGTTAATCAAAGGGTTAAATGTAGGCTAGCCAAACAAAATAAAAACAAAAATTAAAAACAAAACAAGTACATACCAACCCTGTGTGACCCAAAGCAACAGAAAGCAACCCCCAAACTGCTGAATAGATCCCAAACCCAAAATAGATACAGGAAAAGGCCCAAATCCAGTGATCCCTATGGGGAGGATATGGGAGTAAGGCAGTTCAGCCAAGCCACCTATTTTTCTAGCTGCATCTGACAGTCACTCCACATCGCCTTTGTCATATGCTATCCCCCTCATCAAGCCAAGACATAGCAAGGTGAGGTCTACTGATATGCACCCCAGAACTCTAGCAATCAGCTCTTCCAGAAAGAGAAAACAGGTACTGAGACTGATTCTACTAGAGAACGAGAATGACTCTAGTGCAAAGAGAATAGTTTTCTGGTTCTGAGTTGCCAATTTTGCTAAAAATAACTTTATTTCACCAACCACAGAAATGTGCTTTTATCAGCTTCTCAACCAGCACCTCTGAGGTATCTTAACACTATCTGTCAAGAAACAAAACACTAATATTAAACGGCCTCTGCCCACTATTCTAATCAATGCCCAGGGGCTTGTAAAGCTACTACCTTTGCCTGAGTCAGGTCCTTTTGGGGCGATGAAGAGATGGAACTGGGGTACCGCCGAGTCTGTGTGGATCTCTGTTCATATAGAGGGCCCTGAGCATTGTTTTGGGAGGTATAGGTTGTCGACTGAATTGGGCCACTCTGATAACCGGATTCCTGACTCTGGTTAGATGAAATTGTGGATGAAGATTCACTGTGGGTAAAAAGAAAGAAAATCTCAAGAGAAATGAAATAAAGCAGATTGACTGGTACCAAGGAAACGGTGGAGATTTACTAAAGTTGATTATAATCAAAAAGAAAATTTCCAGCAACAAATAAAAGAAGCCACCATTATTTTCTCCCAACAACTGAAGGCATTTCCACATCCAACAGAGCTAGGTATTTGAATTAAAAATGGAGTTTAAAACATTTCTTGTCCCCTTATATTCTGCTGTTACAAGAAAAAGAGGCTAAAGGTCAGCAGTAAGGATACACTACTCTTAGGTCGTTCATCACAGCATGAACCCTAAGCAGGAGAAAGTTATCTTTTGCTCATATGCATTTTAAAGAATTCTGAGCCCTTGGCTGTTTTAAAAACCCCATTAAATATAAGGTTACTGGTAGAACTCTCTGAGAGGAACTTTTAGGATTGAGAAAAACAGCCCAGTCCCCTAAATTCCTCCAGGATTTTCTATTGCTTCAGATGGCACTTCCTGAAGCTATCAGAGGAGATAGGAAAGTTTCCACTAGAAACATTTCTTTTAATCTGTATATCAATGCTACCTCCTTCATAGGAGTTCAAAGTTATACCCTTTTTAGGCCTAAGTTCCAAACCAAAGGGCTGAAAGTGTAAAAAGCATTTTTAGCTGTGGCAGATGCCAAGATCCTTTCCATTAGAGGTACTGTACACATCTGTTAAGAACTGCGCTTGGGCATTCTAGAAGTACTCAAGGAGTATATTTCTATCTGTTTAGAGTTACAGATAATCCTAGTAATATTTTATCCCAAAGTTCAAAGAAAAAACAAGAGAATTAGAAAAAGTGGTAAAAGCCTAATAAAAGAAGTCTTATGACTGATGTTTCCTCTACCTGGCCGTGCTGGTATAGAGGCTATTTGGAGCCTGGCTTGAAGAGGCGCTCGTGGTGGGAGTGGACTCATAATCAGAAAGGACAGGCTCTGACCCAAACTGCAATGCCCCAAACTGTAGGTTTAGCCCTGAGATATCTGCTGAGCCAGGCATCTCCACAGCCAGAGCAGGAATCTGTAGAGAGGAAAAAATGTTTTATTGCAACCTTACTGTAAGACTAAAAAAAACCTCTTGCTTCAATTTCACAAACTATACCCTTACAATCTCAATTCCCAAATCATACACCCTCTTATCCTAAGATTGTATCTAAAAGTTCAAGTACCTTAGAAGTCAAGGAGGCTTTTTTCTTCTGCTGTTTCAGTTTTTGCTGAGCCGGCTGAGGGCTGGAGGACTGGTTGTCTGAAGACCCAGGAGACATTTGTGGAGCCGAGGTGGATTTGCTTGGCAGAGGAGAAGAGGGGGGTGGAGGTGCAGCTGTGGAGGTAGCCACTGCAGGTGGCTTCTCCTGAAGAAACACCTCCATCATGGTTGAAGATGGGGTAAAAGCCTGGCGCTTTGTAAAGGGGCTGTGCACTGTTGAATCATTTGGGTTCTTCAAATCTGCATGAGAAAACCCAATATGTATAAGGCCAAAAACAATGGTGAACCTGAAGAAAATGCTAGTATCCTGCTCTAGACTCATAAGCTAGGTCCTCAGGATCAGAATATCAAACAGGTCCTCTTTTAAAATATAATTCCATTTCTGTAGGTGACAATCTCTGGACCATATTTGTTCTTATGTACAGCCTAGGAGCCCAACTGAATCAACACTATTACCCTGCCTGTGTAGAACAGGAATCTAGGAACTGCCCATGTTTAGAATATAAAGTCCTAAAATGGCCAAGTCCATGAACCTTTCCAAAGGGGATATGCTTTTTTCAAACATTGAAGATATATCTAGGGAAATCCAAATAATCCTCAGGTCAACAGAAAACTACAACTATGTATATAGGTAAATTTAATGAAATAATTTACAGCCTCGACTTTTTATTATTCCTCAGCTTTCTGAAATCAGCCCATCTAACTAGGGTAAATTAGTGTGGGGAAACTAGCCAGTTGACAGCCCTTCTCCTTACTTCAGGACACATTCTCCACCCCCGACTCCTGCCTGCCTCTTGACAGTAATGCTCCAATGCTTAAAGAATTAAATTCACTTTCCATTTTTCTCACCATACTGCACCAGCGATGGGGATTGTGTGGTAGAGCCCATGTCCCAAGAGGAGGTGGTGGTGGTTCCAGATTGAGAATGCTGAGCTGCCAACTGAGCCAGGGCCTGAGCAGTCTTGAATTGCTCCAAGAACTGAGAGCCTGTGGTGCTGCCACCTTTAGCTTCACTGACATCACCAAATCCTTTCCCTAACATGCTCACCTGTAAATCAACATAGATATTAGAGAAATTTACAGTCAACAACCTTGTTCAGCTACTCAAAAAGACACTTATCCAGGGTTAGAGCCAGTATAAATGAGACAAGTAAAGATTGTCATCAGACTGAGTACACAGCATAGTCCATTTAGAGCACAAGCCCTGGAGTCAGACTATCAAGATTCAAATCCCAGCTATGTAACCATGGAAAGGTAATTTTTCTGTACCCCACTTTCCTCATCTGAAAATAGAAATAAAAGTAGTACTTCATAAAGTTGTATGAGGATTAAACAAATAATGTATGTAAAGCATTTAATATGTGCATAACACCCAGTAAATACTCAATAGAAATGAGAGCTATTAAAATTTATATCTTTATCAACGCTTCCTCCTTCCTCCATGTCAGGAATAAAGCTCTAATGACTAGAGGATTTTTTCTCTTTTTAAAGTTTAAAATCAACCTATACTTGATTATTAAAGTGAAGTTAGTATAAAATTTTATTTTAGCCATTAAGGTCCTTGCCCTTTACACTACATAGCTCAAAAGGAACAAAAACAACTAACTGGGATCCTCATCTCAATGCTGTTAATAGCTAGCATAGAAGCAAAGACAACGTTAGGGGCCATCCAAACTTCTGCACTAGACAATCAAATGAATCAATATGATTTAACTGTTTTCTCTGTGTGTAGCCAAGTTTTACAGGGTAATCGTGATAACAAAGCAAAATTTACTCTTAATGCTTTTAGGAGATTCTCCCCATTGCCTGATATACCAAGTAAAACTATCAGCCTAGTCCAGAAGATGAGCCATGTGACCTTGACTATTCTAAGAAACCTCCAAGGAGATTTAATCTCGTTTTCCTTAAATTCTTATTTAACCATATCATCACCACCATGATTGAGCAATGCTTTCTCATACAGAACCAGTCTATCCAACTCAAGCTAAGACATTTTCTCCCACTTCAGTCTATTATCCCAAGATTATACAAACAAACAAAACCAGAAGTCTAGTTCAAAGTATGGGATTGTGACAGAGATGATCTCACACAGCAATGATTACCCAATATTCTGCAAGTGCAAAGCATATTAAAGGCATAGAAAATTACTTAATCTTCACATATTGTACATGACAATAGGGGGCTTCTGTATTATTCACATCTGTTAAATTTTAAGGGAAATCAATTCTCTAAAGGTCATTCTCAATGGAAAAGAAACATAAATAGCACAGTGATTAATACAGGTAATGAGAACAGAATAACTTTAGTATAACATATCATATGACACACATTAAATAAAATGTTAGGGTATATGAAAGTATGTTGAAAACTTCAAAAAGGCAATTTAAATAAGAGACATAGCACACTTAACCACATTTTCCAGTCACATCTCCTAGAGGTTGGTAGTTATTTCCTGATCTGTTTCACCTTCTAACCACCTTTGTCCCATTTTATTTCTTTCTTCTTTATCTTTTTAATCCCCCATCCTTTCCGCGTCACCTCTTTCCTACTTTTTCTCACCTGTCACCTTTCATTTATGGCAGAATATCAACCACCAAATTACTATTAGCACAAAAANTTCCGCGTCACCTCTTTCCTACTTTTTCTCACCTGTCACCTTTCATTTATGGCAGAATATCAACCACCAAATTACTATTAGCACCATTTTGAGACAACAGTTAAAAACTGACAGAACTCTGGATTAGAGGCCAGCTCAGCAGTTTTCTAGTTAAAATAATTACTATAACCCTACTAACGGAAAAATAAAATTACATGCACACACATGGTCTTTTGCCTCTTTAATACTATAGTGTTTCTCCACCAAAAAACAGACAAGGAAGGAAATGCAAAGAAAAACAAAGAGAAAAGACAGTACCTCTTAAGATTTACTATAAGAAAACTGGTCCTTGCATCATCTGTTTAGCTTAAATGATTCCTTTGCCATAGTTAATGACCTTGAATTTTTAAAAAATGTTCTGAATCAACAAGTCACGTGCTGTAAGTGTTCTAGGTTATTAATAAATAACACCACTACTGCCACCACATTTGTACAGCTCTTACCCATTATCTTCCTAAAGCCCTGTAAGATAGGCAGAGCAAGCACTTAAAATTTGGGGGAAAGGGGGCGGGGTCTCGGTGAGGGTGGGCAAAGTGGGGGGAAATGGGGATATCTATAATAGTGTGAACAATAAAGTTAAAAAAAAATTTCAGTTACATGTATTGGGGTGATAGCGGTTAATAAAATTATATAGGTTTCAAATGCATAATTATATAATGCATCATCCGTAGAGCAAGCACTCCTATCCCCACTTACAGAAAAAGGGAGAAACAGCTAAAAGTAGGCAGATTCCGGAAGACCCTTAGTTTCTGGAAACCTAGTCCAGAAATGTCTGGTTTAAATAAACATATATGGCAATTCTGCTCTATTAAGAAATAGGGAACTGCTACAATTCCTTATTGCAAAGGATTAAAATTTGCTGATACCATTGATTTTTCTCTCAAGAACAGCAAACAATGTTCAGCACAATGAGTATTAAATTATGTTAACTCATTTTTATAAGGTTCAGTGTGTCTGAAGCTAACTCCTCTCCTAGAGCTATCCCTAATTACCCAACTCAACATTTCTACACCCAGGGCTGCTTAAGAGGACAAAAGAGGATGCTTTATCTACCCCAAACTTTTGACTGTCAATAGAATTACTGTATATAACGGTAGGGTTTGGCAGAAATTTGGGTTAGGAAACACCATGTTTCCTACTTACCATACTGTGATGAGAAAATGTGTTCCCTGAAGCAGGCTGTGATATGGTACTCTGCTTCGAGTTACTGAACACCAGAGGCTGGGCAAGAGAAGGAGCCTGAGATGGATCCAGACTAGACGAATCATTCTCCATTGAAGATGGTGTCTTCCCCAACAGAACAGCAAGGTCAATTCTAGTAGAGAGGAGAGAAAATCTTGATGAGTAAGACTGAACGTTCTAGCATTCCCCAACACCCAACTCAGATTATGGTTAGATTAAAATGAAGTCACTCCCAGAAACACAAAGTCCTCACTGAAATGCTTAATTTATCAAAAGTAATTGACATACAAGAGCCACTATAGTATTTAGCTATGTTCTAATTACGTTGCCAACCATAATAATGTTATTTAAATATTTTATTTTAGTGAAGTTAATTTAATGAAATTTCAAATGCTAGTTTTAATACAGCAGCTCAATGATTGGGCCAAAATTTACTAATTTTTTAAAACTGATTTTTAGAGAGGAAGGAAGAGGGGGAGGGAGAAAAACATCAATAGGCTGTCTCCTGCACAACCCCACCAGGGATCGAATCCCCAACCTGGGTATGTGTCCTGACCAGGAATTGAACCAGTGACCTTTTGGAACATGGGATGACACGCAACCAACCGAGCCACACTGGACAGGACAAAATTTACTATTTTTACATGTCATTTTTTAATATGGAATACCTGCCATTACCAATATTTAATATGTAAAACTAAATACTAGAATGCTCGCATCTTCAAGTGGCTTTGCAACAAGAAAAATTTGGGGAATTTCCCCTACTTTTATAAAATTTCAAAAGTTATCTATGGTATAATAAAAATGTATTTGTACTTTGCCCCCAGTTCTCAGCACAGAGCTCCTAACTTAAAATGTCCTAAGTGATAGAGTGGTCTTTTTTACACATAAGCCCCTTTCAACTATGAGGTTACTCAGGGTGGGGTCTCCCACAGAGCTGCAAAACTGGATCTGGTGACCAGAAACACCAATAATGTGATTAGAGGATTAGAACTTTCAGTCCTACTATACTCCACCCATTTCTAGGAAGGGAGGAGAGCTGTACATTAAACTCAATCATTGATGACAGATCAATCATGCCCACATAATAAAACTGATTTTAAAAAACTCTTGGAACAATGAGATACAGTGAGCTCTGAGTAGGTGAACACATCAATGTGCTGGGAGGGCAGCACAACCAGAGAGGGCACGGAAGCTCTGTCCCCACCCCCCATACCTGGCCCTATGCATCTTTTCCACTTGGTTGTTTCTGAATACTGGTTATAATAAACAATGGCAAGAGAATCTCTTTCCTGAGTACTATGAGTCATTCTAGCAATTTTTTTTTTCCTAGCAAATTATTGAACCTGAGGAGGGAATATCCCCAAATTTATAGCCAATAGGGAAGTGTGGGTAGCTGGGGCACCCATTTGCAGCTGCCCTCTGAAGCAAGGGCAGTCTTGTGGGACTGCGGCATTAACTTGGGTCTGTGCTAACTCTGGATAATTATCGTCAGAATTGAATTGTTGAACACTTAGTTGGTTTCTGAGAACTGTAGAACTGGTGTGGAAAAATGACAGATATTTGGCGTGAGAAAAAATACACATTACTGCTAGTAACAGCATCCCTAATACCTCATTCCTATCACACTTTAGGATCTTCTGAGTCAGCAACTATCATACCCAGGTCTAGAAATAATCCAAAAGGCTTTCAGGGGATACAAACATTCTGTGATGAGTGTATCCTCTCTACTGACCCCAATACCTAGGTTCAAGTTCTAAAAAGTTCATTAGCCGCATCCTAGGGGAAAAAATGATCACTATATTCAGTGGGCACAGTAGACAGAGATCATAATTATAAAGCAAGAGAAGCTACTGAACAGTTCTGCAAATTCAGAAACAAATGAAAACATTTCCACTTTTAGCTTTTCTTTGCAAGAGAAATTATATCATGCTAAGTTTTAATCAATGCCTGTAATGCTTACCTATGTAATTAAATGGCTATTTGGGGGGGAGAATCAATTTTAACACTGTAATATAGGGACTTCTATTCAGTAAATTAACTATTATCAGCTCTTATAAACCTATCAATCAACTAAAGAGAACCTAAACTGATTTGGTCATCATTACTACCAACACCATGGAAGCTTGTAAAGGTCCACTGCCACTCTTCCTTACAGCAACCTCAGCAGATCCATTTGGGAAAAGATACTGAATTTTACCACACACTTGCCTCTGACCAGCAGTGATTGTCACATTCTCTGCAGGCAGAGGCACTGAAGACACATTAGAGGCAGTGAAGATCTTGGTCTCAGAAAGCTGGAAAACAGAGAAATTAGTCACTCCTGGTGTTAGGTAGGTTATAGTCAGAATCCTTGCATAAGTAAGGGGAATTCATTTCATCAAGAAAAAAGGAAAACCCTTTGAAGAGGAAACTACTCTGAAGAATCCTGAATGGATCGACTCTGAAGCCCCTTCTATGTATGCTTAATGATTTTTATCAAAAGAGAGGAGAATCAAGAAACCCAAAAATATATAGTAGCTACATAATATGTACACTAAACTTACAGAAGGTGAATATACTTGCTAGACAGAAAAACGGAGAAAACCCCTTTATATTTTCCCATTACAGTTCCCCACTCCCACCTCTATCCAAACCATGATTTATCTTCTACTATTCCTCTCAAAGAAAGGAAAATGACAGCCAAGACGAAGACAGAAATTAAAGAAAAAAAAAGTTAATTCTTGGCTTTTGAGTAGTTAGGGCCCAAGTGCTAGTGAGTTAAGGTCTTTTCAGGAATAATTTTAACCATATGCAATTGTTGCCTTCATACTGACTTTATTACACCTAGCCTCTCCACTATAAGACACTAAAATCAGGTAAGCAATTATTGGGAATAATTCTTCATACTATTCAAAAGCTGATTTGGTTTTGTTTTGACTTTCTAAAAAGAAGGGCTCCACCTCCCCAAATACATCATTCTCTGAAAGTTGCTTAGAAGACAAGCCAAATCTCAGAAAATATTCACAATGCAATCTAGCTCAGCTACAATAGAAAATAATCACCCTGATGCTGATGCACCTGAAACTTTTAAAACGCCGACCTAGCCAACCAAAAACAGTTTGACATATCATTTCCTCTTACCATAAAAGCTGTCTTGCCTGAACATATGTATATAAGTAGATTAAAAATGTTAGAATGGAAATTCATCCATGATCACCGATAACTGTAATTCATAGCAAAAGCTTGAGGTGAGCAGGAATCAGCAAAATTCTTTTACTGGGGTACTACTCCAGTGAATTAACAGAACTTGTTTATGTACCATCTCATGCCACCCATCTATGAGGTTTCCAAGTTGAGTAAAGCTGGAAGATAGCCAATTCTACATATTCATCTCAATTGCACTTATAAATTTGGGCTTCAAGTAACTTAAAAGGGTTCCAGAGCCAACCAGATTATAGACTTGAGGACTTGGCACTTTAACTCTCCCTTTGTACCCACCTCCAAGCCAATTACAGGACCATACACCAATGCTTAAATGTGAATAGCAAATTGTTCCAAGTAGAGCCACGTGCCACCAGCAGCTATTAATGTGCTACCTATCTAACTCCATTTCCATTGCCCTACCCAACCACCATCTCTTCCTGGGATAAATCCAACAATCAGATATTTGGACTTACACAAGTGCACTTGCCCTTTCCATAGTCTGGTTCCACAGAGTCCTGTTCATGCCCAGTCTCCTTCATATAACATATGTCAAATGTTCTGGCTCAGAACACTATTTTGGATGTAAAAGTTTTGAGTCAGAATCTTAAGGATTAATTTTGAGGGGTAGAAACATACCCATTTTCTATCCCTAAACACCACTTAGGGATAGAAGGCACTAAAGAAAAATGACCTAGAAATACCTACATCTTCATTCCAATCTTCAGTTCCCCACTCCTCTGTTGCAGTCCTCCATGCACCTGAGAATAAAGGCAAAGCAGTGATTTTAAGTGCCAGTACACAGCATGTGCAGAAAACACTAATGTATTAACATTTTTGGCAGCCAAAAGTGTAACCAGAATTTAGTAATCAGAAGGGATTCTTGGGCTTCAGAGGGAGAAAAAGACTATTTAGAAAGGCATACCTCAGAACTACAGGGTTTTAATAAGATTACAATTTCACAGCTACTTTCAGTTTTTGTTACATGGCTGTACAGCAAAGAGCGAGAGCGAGAAAATGCAAGAGAGTGCAAGACCCCAATGAACCCAATGCTCTAGGCAATCTCTTAAGACACACAACCCTCTGACTTAGTGGTCAATTCAGTGAGATGGCAGCAGCCAACTTACCCCAGAACAAAACTCCTCTTATTTATCTGGTATAAGACAATACTGTAGCCAATCTGAAGATGGCAGCAGTGATAGAGGAACACAAATCGTTGCCCACATGACAGTGAAGGGCAGTGAAGAAAGCAGGCTTAAATTAATACTGACAGCACTGACAATTATCCGCTATTGGAACTGTATTTAAAAATGCATACTTAGCAGAAGTAACATTTATAAATCTTACTGGCCTAACTATAAGGAATCCCTATGGATCTGCTCTTTTCAGAAGATACCAGACGAAACCAAAAAATCAAGTATGTGTGTTATTCTCCTAATCCTATGCCACAGAATATGAAATCTGACCTGCCGAGGCCATGGCACAGACAACGGAGGTGTGCACACTCCTCATGCTGATAATAACAAAGTTGGGATACAGTTTTTGGTGTGTGTTTTTTGTTTTTATTGTATTTATTTACTATATTATTTTTTAATCCTCACCCAAAGATATTTTCTCCATTGCTTTTTGGGGGAAAAGGGAGGAACATCGATGTGAGAGGGACACATTAATTGGTTGCCTCCTGCATGAGCCCTGGTCAGCACCAGGATCAAACCTGCAACCGAGGTACGTACCCTTGGCCAGAATCAAACCCGGGACCCTTAAGTCCACGGGCCAACGCTCTAACCACTGAGCCAAACCAGCCAGGGGAAGGATACAGTTCTTACAGGAGAGATCCATAGGCAATCAAACCACCTTCCACCATGTTCCCCTTGTTTTGCTTCATGTGTACATATATCCTCAGAAAGGGGAACTGAACTTTCTTAAGGAATATGGTGAAAGTTTCAATGAGAACCTCAATTCTTCCCTTTGACCAAAGGACTACGGTAAGAAATAACCAATTTGTAGAAGGAACAAGAACACTTTATTATCTTCTCTAGGACAACAGTAGATATTGGTATATTGAATAATTTAAAGATTTCTCTCCAAACGGAGAAAGCTTCTTAGAAAAATGAAAGTCTGGCATTCCGATATTTCACTGTCTACTGTCACTGAAAAGAAATATTCTAACACCTACAAAAACCATCTGAAATTCTTTTAAACATTTAATAATGAAAAATCCTAATTTCCTAGAGAAAAATATGTTCATCATGCCTTTCCTAGGACAATGTTAAAACTATACCAAGAAATTACAAACCACTTACTAATGACAATGTTCTCCAAATCAAAATGAAGTCCAATCTCAATTTAGACAAGTTACAAACCACATTTTCCTCTCCCTCTCTGGTGATACCACTCTTCCTGCCCATTGACATCCATCCCATCCTGGCTAAAGGAAACCCAAGATCTGAGTTAATGCATACACACAATCCTAGAGTTGGAAGTGACCTGAGAAATTATCTACCATTGACAGGCAATCTCTCAATGCAAGAATTTTGTTTTTTGCACTCTGATAACTATATCTGGGATAGAAAAGAGTGTAAACTCCTCATTGATCTTTTTTTCTTATGTAGGATGTATGAAAATGACTGAGAAAGAGAACTATATTGAGGAAGCATTAATGAACAGAAAGAGCGCAAATGCTCTGAACAACAGATTAGGGTTTCCACTGCATCAGCAAAAAGCACAAAGTAAATGTTAAATAGTCATTAAATGAATCAAATTTTTAAGAAGCAAAAACGGGCACAGAATATGGCAGAAAAAGGCAGAAAGAGAAAAAGCGGGAAGACAGAAAAATTACATATCCACAGATATTTCAGTTCATAAAAATCTATAAAAATATCCGGGGCAGTTAGGCGCCTGGATGTATCATACCAGGAGCAGTCTCAAATTTTCGGGGATAATTTGACCCCTCAACCCCAATGAAATCAAGTCCTGAAACAAAAAGAAAAGAAAAGAAAAAACAACCAGTGAAATTTTGCTTGTGAATGAGAACATATGCCCCCAATACACAATTCCCAGTGTACCTGTGGATATTTTAAGGGTAGGTTTGAATTTTCTTTTTAAATTAAAAAGGGAATTTGAGTTTGCTATCATGAAAACACAAAAAGAGATCATGCATGAAGGTGAGTTCATGTTGAAATTAACAATAATGAGAATGCATGAAGCTATCTATACCCAACACTTTCACACTAACAAGATGACAGCAGCATTACATAATTTTTCATTCAGACACAAACCACAGATTTCTGATTCCAGACCCTCAAACATGCTATTCTCCACTTAGTGAAATAAACATACACTTCAACCTTCTCTGTTTTTCCAACCAGAACCTTGTTGAAAACAGCTAAGGTTTGCAATCCAGGACTGGGACTCCATGCCTGATTTTCTTCTGTCCACAACTGAAAATAAATCCCTTAACTTCTATCATCTTTTCTGCCAATGATAAAAGGCCAAATACCCAAGAACAAACTAGAGCTCAAAAACAGTAGCTTTTGTTATTCAGACTGCTACCACTGCCTCTACAAAGTCATCAAGAGATGAATGAAGAGCAGTTTTTATGCCCCCAAAGTACAGGAAGTTAAAAGAGAAAAGGACATTTCATAGCCAAATGATCAAGAGAATTCACAAAGATATCTATTCTGCCAAAAACTCAATTTTAGTCTCTACCAGTTAGAAAGTTGTATTCCAAATGAATTTATAAGACAACTTGGTAAATAAAAAGCGAGTAACACTCAGGACCTGAGGTGTATGTAGCATCTTATGGACAGTATATGAGAAGCTGTGCCAAAGATCCTACTAAAGACACAGAGATAAAGATCACCGATCTTTAAAAAGGGGCAAGGCAAATTTAAATGGATAAGGAGTCAAAATGCCTATTTTGTGCTCTATTTTTAACTCATCCCCCCCTTTAGAAGAAGAAAACAGTCTCAGGTTTTGTATATGCCAGTTCAACCAGGAGGAGGTAACTAATCTCATAAAAATAAAGTACTCTGGAGCCCAGAGGCTACGCTTGTTTAAAGCAGTAAAAGCATCTTACTCCCAAACACATCTTGGTGTTTCCCAAGAGCCTAACACATCCTTAAATATATACACCCTACTCAGATAGAGGCACCAAAGTCAGCTAAGAAAAAAAGCAATCTTATTAAAATCCCATAGTACTCTACTACACCAAGAAGACTGTCCAACAAAGAGTGCTAGAAAGTCTCAAGATTTCCTTTGTGCCCAGATATTGAGATTTCCCAAAAATGAAGGGAAAAAAAGATACTATCTCAGTACCAGAAAACAAACTGACAGTGGGCTTTGATTCTCAACCCTCTTCATCTTGATTAATTCTGGATATCCTTTCACAAGGCAAAGCTAGCTACCCTAACAAACACGAGGAAATACAATTGGAGCTAACAGCAGCCACATGGTATAATGGAAAGAGCATGGGCTTGTAGGGTCAAACAATTCTGAGTTCAAATACTAGCAAATTTCTTCACTGCTCTTTCAGTCTAAGTTTCATCATCTGGAAAGTGATGACAAATGTCTACTTCATAAAATAGTGATGAAAATCACGTGAAACAGTTTGTATAACGTGCGCACAGACATACCGTAAGTAAAGAGAACACACAGTAATTCAATTGTGATTTTCTCCCTTTCTTCCCCATCTCTGCACCCAAAAAATATTCCTCCACTTTACATAACTATAACCTCAAAAAAATTTATTTCCTTAGGTACCCAAAGACAAGAAACGAATAATAAACAGTCACTCACTCGTCCCATCATCTGGCTCGAAGTGGCCAGTGTTGTTCCACGTACTGCTGCTATTATTGCCATAGTTATCATCAGTATTGGTTGGCTCTGCATAATCAGCTGGGTTAAAGGTTCTGGGGGTG